TAAATAAGCCAGAGGTACGCAATGCCTCTGAGAGAGAAAAGAACAATGAGGTACAGATTGCTGGTCTTTGACCTTGCCAGGACCTCTTCCAGGCTCTGGGATTATGTGTGTATCTGGGGAGTCAAAGGAAGGTAGTGGTGTTCATATCTTGACCATCTGGAGTGATGACCTGGCCCTGTTCTGCCAGAGATTTACCTTACCATCCACTTAGCCAGTGTGCTCCTTCTCACTTTGTCCACAGCTCTTCCTTTAGAGAATAGCAGAGGAACCTAAACTGAATTTTTCCTCTGAGAAAATAAAAATAGTATTGATCCAAGGCTGGCTGTTTCTGGTAAGAATACTATGATGTCGATGGAAGAGAAAAATAAACTTTGGAACTATGTTGGTGACAGAGAGATCTTAGGTAGGAGGAAAATGAAAATCCTGTCTATATTTCCCCCTGCTCCTGCCCCACTCATGTGGTATCTTACCAGGTAAGTTAGGTCAATTGAGAGTAGAATAAGTGAAAACATTTCTTGGTTTAAAATTTTTTAAAGCTGCCTGGGTTTACCATTCTAATAGAGTGTAGCCCCTGCCATTTTGTCTGGTTAATAACCACACATAACTTGATAACCATACCTCTCCACCCCATTCCCCCCTTACCCCATGCTGAAGGATGAATGAAAACTGATAAAATTCTGATAGGGACTTGGATCAGACAATCCCAGCTCCTCACAGAGCACCAGGGGTTCACAGTGGTTTCCTCTAGACTCTCTTCTCCAATGGCTAGCATCCTTATTTTAAAAAGCAGTGTGCAGTGGGGAAACTGAGACACATAGAGGCAAATTAGGCATGAATGCTTGATGAAACCTTAACCCCATGACCATACTTCTAAGTGTCTGTATTCCTCCTCATAGGGTATTTTGAAGACTTAAAATACTCTCCTTGGAGACATTTAGGCTCTGAAATGCATCAGAGAAATCAAATCTCCTCTAGATCAGGTGTATCTGGTTTGCTGGCCTTGGCTTGGTTCTCCCACTTTTAATTTCTCTGTTGATTTTAATTAGTCTCTCCATAGGTGCCCCCGAGTTCCAGGAGCCTTTTCTTCAAAGACAGAGCTTTTTGGCAAGGCAGATACAAACCTTTCTAGTCTCTGTCCTCTGCAGTGGCTATGAAATGATTCAATCACTCCCCTGGTATCAAGACCCAGGCTTGATATAAGAACTGCTAAGGCTGCTTCTGACATTAATAATAATAACAACATAGAATAGCTGACATTTCTAAACTTTTAGGTTTGTAAAGCACTTTATATATGATCTCACTTGATTCTCAAAAAAAACCCCCAACAACTTCAAGTACAGCTCTGTATTCACTATTAAACCTTGTTAATCTAGTTAATCTTGTTAATCTAGTTAATCTTGTTAATCTAGTTCTATTTTGTAAGGATATTTAAGTGACATTACTAAAGCAATATGTCGTGGTACATAAAGAGTTGATCTTAGAGCTAGGAAGACTTGGGTTCCAGTCTCATCTGGGACACATAGTGGCTCAGTAATCTAGACAAATAATTTAGCCTCTCTGTATCCTAGGCCAGATGTGGCAAACACACACACACACACACACACACACACACACACACACACACAGGGCCCACAACACTCCCAAGTCTGGGCAGAACTAGATTAAAATGCAATTGGGAAATATTTAACAAAATACACAAAATATAATAAAACATAGATAATATTAATATGTGCTTTTCTAAGTCAATATATGGCCCACAGGGATCCTTATGTATGGTTCCTATGGCACTCATTTCTATTTGAGTTGGACACCACTGCTCTGGGCAACTCTCTAAAGACCGTTGACCTGCATGGCGAGAGAGAGTTCCTCCCTGGTAGCTCCCTACCCATATGAATTCATAGGCTTATCGCTATTTAGATGACAATACTACATGATGAAAAATGTGCTATTCTAGTTTTATATGTATAGGAGCTGTGTAGCATAGAAAAAACTAGAGGCTCTGGAGTCAGAGAAACTGGGTTCAAATCTTTCCTCTGATGTTTATTATCAGAGTTACTTTGGCCAAGTCAATACCCTCTCCAGACATTGGTGTCTTCAACTGTCAAATGGATATGATGGCCTTGGAGGTTCCTTCTGGATCCTTTGAGCATTGAGGAAAATATCCAGGGTCCTTGGAATCATAGAATTCCGGAGCCTGAAGGGATTTTTTGTTCCTGCTAGTCTCAGGATCATAGAACCAAGATTAAGAACCAAGAGGTATAAATTAAAAATATAACAAATAAAAATAATAATAAAAAAAAAGAACCAAGAGTCACCTTAGAGACTACCTGGTCCATCTGTCTCATCTTATAGTGGAGAAAATGGAGGCCTGGAATGGATAAATGACTTCCCTAAGGCCTACTTCCATTTAGCATAACTGGAATGATTCCTATGGGGCAGTGCTAGCCTGGCCCTGAGGTTCCAACTTCATCTTTGCTCATTCTCCATTCTAATGCATGTGGTGTATCTGCATTCAGTACCAAGGCGGGGCAGGACCTAGACTGGGTAAGTCATTTAACCCCAATTTGGCCTCAGTTTCTTCATCTGTAAAATGAGATAGTTGGCTTGATTTCTGAAAGCTTGCACAACTCCAGGCCCCTGATCTTGTCAAACTCTCTAAGCCTCAGTTTTCTTTTTTCTTTGAAGTGAGAGAATGGGACTATAGGTCGTCTGAGGACCCTTCTAAATTTAAGATTCAAAAAAAATAGAATTTAAGCTCCTTGAAGGCAGGGACTGTATCTTCCTTTCACATTTGTGTCTCCAGGTCCTGCCTAGTAAATGCTTGCTGGTTGATTGATAAATTAAAATTAAAGGGCTGGCCAAGGTCTGAGTGATTCAGTCAATGAAGCAGTAAACATTTATTGAGCACCTGCTGTGGCCCAGGCACTGTGCTAAGCACTAGGGACCCCAGGGAGGCAAAAGATAGTTCCTGTCCTCAAGGAACTTCCAGTCTAATGGGGGAAACAACATGCAAACAAATATATACCAAACAAGCTATATACAGGATGAATAGGAAATAATTAAAAGAGGGAAAACATTGGAATTGAGAGAGATTAGGGAAGGCTTCTTATAGAAGGTGGGATTTTAGTTGGGACCAGAAAACGTTTTTTAAACTGGACTGAGAGTCCAAAATACTGAAACTCTGGGAGCCTCCTTAGGAACCAGGGCCTTATTACGCTCCAGTGGCACTGAAGGGTGCTTAATCAACAGGCTGCCTGTCTCTTTCTCTTTTTCCCTTCCCTCAATCTCCTCCCCTCCCCATCACTTCTTTTTAAAAGACTATTTAAAGCCTGAATCATGATCTCATACTTAGATCCATCTTGAGACCAGAAAAGAAAGAAAATTAGGGGGTTGTAAAATCAGTGCTGGTTCTGTCAAGCTCACACAATTACCAGGATGCTCCAGGACCATCTGCAGGAAAGCTGGGCTATGCACAATTACAAGAAAGATTTCTTGGTCCAATTGACATCTGGACTTTGGCTGAGGGTGGGTCTTATTTTATGCGGTGAAGATGTAGAAGGGCCATTGGGATAAACAAGGAGGCTTCCCTGTGGTGGGGTAGAAAATGCTGGGGAGTCAGCAGGCTTGGCTTCTTGGTTTGGCTTGACTGTGTATGACCTTGGGAAAATCATTTTTATCAGTTACTTCATTTGTAAAATGAGGGGGGCAGCCAAATTGAGCTCTAAGGTCCTTCCAACCCTGAACTATTAAAGTTACAGGGGACAGTCCAATGTTGAAGTTTTGATGCTGACTTATCATCTGTCAAGTATTGCTTCTGGTGTCAGAGCTGGGTTTGCACTGAATTATCTACACTGTTTTTTTTTTCTTTTTAATTTTTGGTCAAGGAAATTTTCTTTTCTTTTTTAAAAAAATCTGAATTTAGACAGCAGATAATGGACATTTCCATACACCCACCCACACCCACACACACACACACACACACACACACACACACACACACACACACACACACACACACACATACACACACATATAAATGCATACATATATACATACACATATATATACATATGAAGCTATTACATTATAACATGAAGCTATTGCAGTAGTCTCCTAATTGATTTCTTTGCTTCCTCTACACAGTTGGGTCTGGTATAGAGGATATATAACTCAAATAGAAATGAGGGCCACTAATCTAAAATAAGAATTCCCATGGGCTGCATATTCATTCAATTTTAAAGTATAATGTTATGTATTTTTTATTGTATTTTATTTATTCTGTTAAATATTTCCCAAATACCTTTTAATCTGGCCCCTCTGGCACTCCAAAGTGTTGGCCATGTTTGACAGCTCTGTTCTACTTAACTGCCAAATTCCTCTTCCGGTCCCTGGCTCAAGATTCTGCAGTGGCTCTCTATTGCCTCTAGGATCATCTGTAAACTCTGTAGTCTGGCCATTTAAAGCCCTTCACAGTCTGGCTCCCTGCTACCTTTTCAGACTAGTTTCATGTTGCTGCCCTTCATGACTTCCATGAACCAGTCCAACTAGCCTTTTGGCTTTTTCCTGAGTATTGAATTCCATTTCTGTGCCTTTGCAAAGTCCCTCCTCACCTGTTGCAGTCAGAAACCCTAGATCTCTTCAAGCCTCATCTCTGGCTGCACATCCTAGCCTTGCACTCCCTTCCTTCTCAATCAATCTTGCGCGTACATTTGTTTCTCTGTTGTATATATCCCCAGGAAAGGCTTCAAGAAGCTAGTGGTTGTTTTTCATTTTATCTCTGCACCCCTTCCTCAACACCCAACAGTGTTTTGCATGCAGTAGGCACTTAATAAATGCTTACTGAATGAATGAAATAATTTTTAGGTACTAAACTGTGTATCCCTCCCTTCCCCCAGTAGAGTGTAAGTAAGCTCTATAAGGTCAAGAATTATTTCTTTTCATTTCCCCCACTTTGTATCCCTAGTGTCCAGCAAAGTATGAGGAGCATGATAAATGTTTAATAAATGTTTATTGTTGCTGTATTCCATTCTTTTTGGAGCCACTGCCCTCAGTAAATGACAAAAGAAAGCAAACAAAACCAGGTTAATAACTAAACATTCAGTTTCACAAAAGACAGTTTTTACAATCAAAGTATTTCCTGCATTACAGAAGCTGTTTCCTCTCTTGGGAGGAGGAGGAACATTGTAACTGCCTGGTTAACCAGGTTGTGTGGAGAGTTGGTCAGGATAGTTCAGATTTAAAAGAAAAAAAAACTAACTCAATTATTTTAGGTCTGAATTATTCAGAATAGCTAATGACAAGAGTCTAATAAACTAGATCATCTCAGCCCTGTTCACCCCTTCCCTGTTGTGCTATATGGACATAATCTCTGACTCCAACCTGGAGACTAATCAACTTAGACTTCCTGGTGCCATTTAATAAGGTATTAATTCAGAAAAAGTTTAAGGTGCCTTCTCCCTATAATGTGATTTATATTTCTTCAAGCTAAGTTAGGGAGCCTGGAGGCAACTGTGTAGTCTCCTATAGGCTCAGCTATCCTCTGGTGTTAGATATATAAAGTACTGCAATAGAACACAAAGTGACAAGAACACTTGTGCCCAGAGCCTTCACTAGCACATGGTGAAGGGGCATTCTCCTCTGCGCTACCAATGCCCGTAGCTTTTGGTGAAGCCGAGGTGAAAATCTATCATGCTAACAAAGGAAGCCCACAGGTCTAAATCTGGAAGGGACCTTTCCGGTCCAGTCTAGCTTCCTGATTTTATGGATGAGAAAAGGCAGAAAGAATTTAAACTCAGGCCCTCTAATTCAAACTAGCCCTCTTTCCCTATAACTCAGGAGAAAGTGACTTACAATAGAGTACTCTTGGAAACCAGGCTGCTAGAAACCAGTTGGTGCTAGAGGTCACCTTCAGACTTTTACTGCTAAAGGGAGAGAGAAGTGTGATGTAACACTGTGGGTATGAGAGATGGATCTGATATGAAACAGAACCTAGCTCCATAAGGAGGGTTTTTTTTTTTACAACAGGCTTAAATTTGCAATTGATCAAAGGTGGTAGCACCCTTTATCACCATGTTCTACTGCCTGGGTGTTGTCTAGCCATTCTGATGTGCCATTTCACCTGGTGATTTTTGGTGTCCAGATTTCTTGGAGCAGATCTGACATCAGAGTAATACTTAAGAGCAAGATCATGAAATCTTCAAAACCCAATTTATTCTCTGTTTGCTCTTCAAGCTCAGAAAGGATCTCTTTGTACTTGGGTTTGTTTTCTTGTCCCTGTGAGAATAACAATTAAAAAAAAGTTCTCAGAGCATTGTTGACAATCCATGTTCGTAGGTGTTCATAGCTTTTCCATTTTTAAAATTTTAATCTGCTTGGTTGTAGGACCAGTGCCTAGAAAACACTCATATAGGTCTGCATTTCTGGGTTCAAGAACAGTTTTTTTTTCCCCACCCTCACAAAATAAGATTGCCAAGAATTCTGAAATATAATTGCTGAGAGAAAATACATGTGCTTTGGAAGACCTTCCACATTCAATTCACTCATATATATCAAATTCAAACACACAGTTCGCACAAACAGAAAGATTGACGGTACTAAGATGAATCACATTATTAATGGAGGGCCTCGTTTCAGACTACAACTCATGAATAATCTTTCCTGCTAACACTGCAAACGTTAAGGTCATTCCACTCAGTATCCTAGCTATCTGTGTTCTCATTTATCATCTTGGCTTAATCACCAAATGCTCACCCACATGCTAATTGTCAAAAATAATCATGATAATGACTAAAGAATATCTCTTGAAAGCCCCCTAGGGAATATAGCTTCTGCACACAGAGCAAAACCATGTTTCTTGATTCCAGTCAGAGGCCAGGTCATTGTCATTCTGCTTTCACACATTTTCTCTACTTGTCCCTTTCTCTCCAGTAATATTCTAAATTCCAGCCAACCTGCTTTGCTGGCTGTTCCTTGTACAATTTCCCATTTTGTTGCCCTTGTCCAGACCATTCCATATATCTGGTATGTCCTCCACTGAAAGAAATGACAATTAGTAACTAATGATTTGAGGAGATTCAGGTTTCCTCTTTTTTCTTTTATCCTCATTTCAAGACCTCAATCCCTGAAGATGGAGTGAACCTTCTTTTCTATCCAGACCCCACCCAGGTGGGGCAGCCACTGTGCTCTACTCAGATTTGGGTGGGCATAAATTCTTTGAATACATATTCAAGGCTGGAGGTAACTTAAGAAGTAAATGACATAATCCAAGTTCAGGTCCAGCTGTGACTACTCCAATAGCTTTTCCTTATACCTTGCCTCTGTAAACTTACCCTCATTATTCATGGGATCATAGATTTAGAGATGGAAGGGACCTTGCAGTTGGGTCCAAACCCCTCATTTTGCAGTTGAGGAAAATGAATCCAAGAGAAGTGAAGTGGTTTGCCCAAGGTCACACAGGTAAAATTAGAAGCAGGCTTTGAACCCATACCCCAGAAAGCCAACGCTCTTTTGGATATACCATACTGTCTCTGCTCCTTTTTCTGCCCTCTAGAGCCAAGCAAAATAAATCCATACTTTATATGACAACCTGTCAAGTTGTTGAAGACAGCAATTATGTCTCCCTTATCTTTGCTTCTCCAGGCTAAACATTCCAAGTTCCTTCAACTAATTCTCATATGGCATTATTTCCAATCCTCTCACCATCCTGGTTGCTTTCTTCTGGACATACTGTAATTCAGGGGTCCTTAATTTTTTTTGTTCTGCACCTCTTTGGCAGTTTGGTGAATCCTATGGCTCCCTGCTCAGAATAATGTTTTTAAATATTTGGAGGAAATACTCAATTTCAGATAGTGAAAATGAAGACATCATTTTTTCCCCATCCAATTTCATGGGCCCCTAGTTTAAGAACTGCTCTAGTATGTCATTGTCCTTTCCAAATTGTGGTGCTTAGGAACTGAAACAAAATTGCACATGCGGGCTGTCCAGGATGGAGGACAGTTCGACTATCACCTTCTTTATTCACGCACCACTATCTACATGAAGCTGTTCCTATCCCGCCAACTATTTTTATCCTCACTAAAATACTTTGTGTTTATTGTGCATTGTGCATATTTTAATTGTTTAACATGTGCATTGTTTAATATGCTAACACACACACACGCGCGCGCACGCGCCCGCACGCACACGTATGTCTTGATAGAATGTGAGTTCCTGAAGAGCAGAGTCTATATCTTTGTACCCACTGATTGCTTGGTATATATTTTGTATGTACTTAATTATGTGCATGTTATCTCCCTTATTAGAATGTGAGCTCCTTCACCACCAGTATGGGAATTTGTTCTGCTTGGCTGTGCATATTTGTTATAAGGAGTTTGTTTTGGGGGGAATTGAGAGGGAGAGAAAATGCATGCTTATTAATGGAGATAATAACATAAAATTAAAAAGTGAGTTCCTTCAAGGAAGGGACAATGTTTTTGCCTTTTGTTGTACCCACAGGCTAGCACAGTTGCCTGACATGCAGTAAGAACTTTATAAATGCTTGTTGACATTGACTGACTAGGAGCTTAATAAATAATCAATCAATTATCCTGAATGTTGTTTGCTGCTTAATGCAGCTTGAGGATGCCATAGCTTATTTTGTTATTATGGTCATATATATATACACACACACACACACACACACACACACACACACACACACACACATATATATATATATGTATATATATGTATGTATACACACACACACACACACACATTGATGTATATTGAGGTTGTACTCCCCCATAATGTTCAATCCTTTCTCACCATGACCTGCTGTCTATCCATCCTTCCTTCACCCTGAACTTGGGCAGTTGGTTTTTTGAATCCAAGGCTAGAACTTTTAAATTATTCTAATTCAATTTCATCTCCCTGGATTCCACTAATAATGCTAGCCTTGATTCCAAATATTTCCTGTTTAAATTTCTTGACATCCCAATCTGTAATCTGGGATCTCTAAAGATGGGGATGAATACTAATAAGGCAACTCATCTAAATGCCTTCTTTTGTATTCTCTTGTTTTAATAAGTCACTGAAGATTTGACAGAATATCACATAGATGGCTCACTATGACTCACTGGAAACAGACACCCACCAAGCCCATAATTAAGTAAAATTTTTAAAGGGCAGATATTAAAAGACACATCCTCTAAGGAAAACCACCCAAAGATAACACTTTCTCTTTACTGGTGCAAAGTTTACTCCAAAGTGGTTTTATATATATATATATATATATATATATATACACAAAATTGGTCGATTATTCAGTAAGCTCCTTACCTGGATGAAACTCGTAAACTGGGTCTTCAGTAAGTTTTTGGCAACAGATTTACTGAGTTTACCATCTGGGTCAGAAGAGTTATTATAAATCAGAGCTGCAGTAGCAAAGGCTTTCTCCAGGTCTGAGCCTTTCCCCAGAGCTATAAAAGATTACATGCAAAGCTGTGTTACATGATGGAAAATGCGATCTAGAGACGCAAGAGCTAGCTTTTCTTTTCTTTTCTTTCTTTTTTTTTTGCTGTGCTTGCTTCTTTTTTCCCCCTGAAGTACATGTAAATTTTTTTTAACATTCTTTAAAATGTTTTTTGAGTTCCAAATTCTTTGCCTACCTTCTTCTCCCTTCCTTGAGAAAGCAAGCAATTTGATATAGATTATAAATGTGCAGTCATGCAAAACACATTTCTACATTAACCATGTTGCAAAAGAAAAGACAGACCAAAAAAAAAAACCCAACGAAAAATAAAGAAAAATTTAAAAAGTTTGCTTTGATCTGCATTTAGACTCCATCATTTCTTTCTCTGGAAGTGCATAGCATTTTTCATTATATGTCCTTCAGAATTGTCTTGGATTATTGTATTGCTGAAAAAAGCTAGGTCATTCATTGTTAATCATCATACAATATTGTTACTGTGTACAGTGTTCTGCTTCTGCTCACTTCACTTTGCATCAGTTCATAGACGTTTTCCCAGGTTTTTCTGAAACCATCCTGCTTGCATTTCTTATAGCAGAAGAGTATTTCATCACAATCATATGCCACAATTTGTTCAGCCATTCCCCAATTGATGAGCATCCCCTTAATTTTTAATTCTTTGTGCTACATAAAGAGCTGCTATGAATATTTTTGCACATATAAATCCTTTTTCTTTTTCTTAGATCTCTTTGGAATACACTCCTAGTAGTGATATTTCTAGGTTAAAGGCTATGCACATTTATCCCCTTTGGGCATAGTTCCAAATTGCTCTCCAGAATGGTTGAATCTGTTCACAACTCCAACAAAACTCTCATTCTTTAGGATCAGATTATTTGGTTTCCAATTAATTTTTAATCTATGTTTCCATGGCCCTTTACTGAATATCATTTTTATTTCATTATGGTGTAAAAATGATGCATTTACTATATCTGCTTTTCTGCATTTGGTTGTGTGTGTTATTCTCTCTTTGAACCAATTCCAATAAGAGTAAAGTTCCAGCATTGCCCACTACCCCCCTATCTTCCTTTCCACTGTACAAGCTCTTTCTTTTGCATCTCTTTTATGTGAGATAGTTAAGAACTATCTATTCTAAAGGAACAGGGGAGGGGATGGGGGTGAAACGTAGTAGAGACATGGTTTCCTGGGAAATAACATGGTTTCCATGGCTGGACTGGTCCTTCATCAGTCCTTTGTAGCTCACTTGATGGGTGTGAGTGGCAACAGTGATGGGAATGTTTTACTGCCTTCTTCCATACAAATTTGTACTCTGTGAATGGCAGCACTGTTCATGTATCAATTAATTAATCAATAAATCAGCATTTATTAAGTGCTACTATGTGCCAGGTGCTGGGCTAAGTACTATGGACACGAAGACAAAGAATCAAACAATTCTTGCTCTCAAGGAGATAATATTCTATCAGGCTAGACAACAAGGACACATATAAATATACTTAGAATAAGTTTAAAGAGAATAAATACAAATAAACACAAGAGAGGTAAATACATACATTGGGATGTTAGCTCCTTGAGATTAGGGTCTGTCTTGCTTTTTGATTTGCATCCTCAACATTTAGCATAGTTCTTTGAATACAGTAAGCTCTTAATAAATGCTTTTCACTCATTCATACAAGGTTGTTGGGGGGAATGAAAGTGATAGAAGCCTGGGGCTTCAGGTCCTCCTTAGGTCCTCCTGCTCTAAATCCTGGCCTCTTATCTCTGCACCAAGCTATCTCTTTTTCTCCCTACCCTATAATTCTTGTGATGCCATGCGTGGCACATTATGGTGGCAGTGAATGGAATGTGTGCTAGGAAGAGACTGATGATGGTTGGGACCTGAAAGCTGCCACTTTAGAATGCCTGGGTTTTGGTCTTGGGTTTTATTCCCTTGTGCCGTCTTGGGCTGCCCATGGTCATCTCTACTAGTCTAGGATTGTGTCAGGCTGTACATGGTAGGCACTATAATCAGGGAATGAAGAAAAGATGCACACTAGAGTTAAAGCCACAGGTTGAATCGCACAAGTTCAGTGTGGTGCAGTAGAAAAAGAACTCTGGCCTCAGAGGGGCAGAGGAAATGGGTTGAAATCTCCAGTGTGCCACTTTCTGTGTGATCACTCTGCTCCTCTGGCCTCAGGCTGTTTATCTATAAAATGATGAATTTGAACTCAAGGCCCTCTGTGGTATTTCTAGCTCAAAATCTATGATCCTACTTGTGACACTGTATAAGTCATATATTTAAGCCTCAGTTTCCTCCTCTGTAAAGTGAAAGTGAACTTGATGGCTTCTAAGATCCCTTGCCACTCTAAATCTATAATCCTACATTTGACCTTGTACAAGCCCCATCACCTTTCTGGGCATCATTATATTTATGAAGACAGCCCCTATGCACTCGTCTCCATCTAAATCTCTGATCCTCGTTTCTCATTCCTATAGCAGAGTGCCCAGGATTAGGCATACTTGGCACAGCTGCTTCACCTTGACCTTCAGTGGATGGGCATGTGTATTGAGACCACTGATTGATTACTCCCACAGATGCTGTCTCATCAGCTAGTCTAGACTATTCACCTCTCACCCTACTCCTTGGCTTCTTAGCTTTTCTCTATGCTGTGCCACAAAATTTTAGTGCTGGCATATCTCTACCCTCACTTGGCTATACCTGGTACACTTATTTAGGGGGTGATACCCGTGACATAGTGAATGACATTTCTTTATTCTCAGGCAAGCTGCATTGGGCTTGACAAGTGTATTTCTGAATTTATTAAGTAATATGTTTCTGAATGCATTAATTAAGAAATACACTTGTCAATGCCTTCCAAAGGGAAAAATTTGTCTCTTCATGTGTTTAATTTTTAAACTTAAGTATGTATAGAATATCTGCAGTCCTGAGCCTTCCTGGTTGAGAGATGAGCTGTGCTTTATAAATAGATCAGCCTTTAAGAAGCAGACAGCTTCAGGAAAAAAAAATCACTTCTTTGAGGTAAACATGCTCTCTCTAATTGGCCTAGCAGGCCTCTTGTTTTGACCTGATTTTAGGACTTGAGAAGCTTGGTTGCTTCCATACCACTTGCAGAGAATAATTAGTCAGTGATCTAAGACCTGAGCATGTTAGAACTACAAAAGACTTTAGTGATCTCAGAACCCCTCATTACAATGAGGACAATGAGACCTGGAGAGACTCAATGATAGAAAATCAAGAACTTCTAGCTGGAAGGGGCCTTAAAGAGTATCTTGTCCAGTCTTCACCTTTTGCAAATAAGAACTCCGAGCTCTGCAGAGATTAAGTGGTTTGTCAAAGGTCATCGAATCATGGATTTAGAGCCAAAAGGGGCTGGGAGACCTAGTTCCATCACTGAATTCTATAGATGAAGAATTTGAGCCCAGGAGAAACCGAGGGACTTGCCCAAGATTACACCAATTTTCCAATAGATCCGTGATCTCATCAGCTTGAGTTCTTTCTCAGCTGTAAGATGGGGATATTAATAAAACATACCAGGGTTGTTGTAAGAATCAAATGGAATTTGTAACAGAAGTTAGCACAGTGCCTGGCATATAGTAAGCACTATACAAATGCGTATGCACTTTCCCTTCCCTGACATCAAACCTAAATCCACCTTTACTCAACTTTACTCCACTGCTTCTAGCTCTGCCCTCTGCCAAATGAAGTAAGTCTAATTCCTTTCATTATAACAGCATTTAAGTACTTGAAGACAGCCATCATGCACTCACTCCTCCTTCCCCTCTCCCTCCAGTCTATTTTTTTCTGAGCCAAACAATCCCACTTCCTCCTATGACATACCCTTCGCTGTGCTGATTGCCCTGCTCAGAACACTCTCTGGTTAGTCACTGTCCTTCTTAAGCCATGGTGCCCACTGTCCCCTGCTGCTTACAAGGGACACTTGCTACTTAATTGAACAGTTCAGCAAACACTTATTAAGCCACTGATGTATGCAGGGGATGCCAGCACGGGGGAGAGAAGGGGAAGGCAACTTCTTTACAACCAAGGAAATCGAGTAATATAGAGTAATTTCAAGGGGGAGATAGAAAAATAAAACAGAGATAGAGATGAAAAATACAAAGAGAGACAGAAAAAGACAGACAGGATGGACAAAGATATAGAGACAGATGATTGTGCTAAGGTGGGGGCTGGGGGAGACGAGGACAAGAAAGATTGCCATATGAAGTGGCTAGAGCAGAACTTTGGAGGAAGCTAGGGATCTTAAGAGTCAAAGACAAGGAGGAAGGACATTCTAGGCATGAAGTACAGCTTGGGCAAAGACACAGGGGTGGGAGATAGAGCACCCTGGGTCCTAATCTCAAGATGATGGTCAGATTTTTGTGAGGAGAAAGTTTGAGGCAAGTAGTAGTATTATGCACTACTTGCAGTGTAAATAACGTTACCTCGAGTGTCACAAGATGTGAGTTCAAATGCTGCCTCTGGGCAAGTCACCCAACCTCCCTGGGCCTCAGTTTCCTTTTTTTAATAGAAAGGAGTTGAACTATATGGACACAGACATCCCTTCCAACTCTATATGCGAGAGCTTAAAAGAACGCCTCAAATCTAACTACCTCTTGCTGATCTGATGGAACACGAAGAAAGACAGCACTCGGTCAATTCTTGATAACCTACAATAACCCATAAGAAGAGCTTATGTACCTTTTCCTTATGCAGACGTGTTGGTAGCCATGATAACCCTTTTATGGAAATTTTACTTGTAAATGGATTCCAACCAGACATAAATGATTTGAGGGTTCCCCGCTCCACTTAGTAGAGATATTTGAATTGATTGTAAGGAACCATGGAATTATGGAATGTTAGAACTGAAAGGAGCCTTAGAGGTCTTTGAATTCAACCTGAGGAAACTGAGGCCCAGAATCCCAGTAAGAATAGATGGGGACGTGCAGAGACCACACAGCTAATCACTGGCAGAACCAGGACTAGATCCTAGGGCTCTGGCCTCCCATTCCAGGGCTGGTGTCTTTGGATTTGCTCAGGATCTCACATGTAACATACTTGATAACATTGGCCCTAGATGCTGAGGGCCCCAGAGGGACCCCCATGTGCATTATTCTAATTTTGGGCACGGCAGCATACCCTTTTAAGCCAGAGAGATGTTTTATTAATCACACTTGTTTTCTTCTCTCTGCATCTTACCTTTCACAGAAGACAGTTGTTTGGATATCGGGATGCTGTCAATGAAAATGAAAGCAACATTAAGATTCAAGGAGATTTAATTGGGGGATTGCCATGAAAAAAAAGCTGTCAACAAATTTCTACTTTATTTCAGGTAAACTACAACATGACCATGGCCAATTTAATCTTTTTTTTTCTTTTGCAAAAAACCACAGAGCAAACCAGAAACAGCTCCCATTCTTGAAGACTGTTAAAGACAGTCCCCAAAAGGGTAGAAGAGGGAATGATTCCTTTGTCTCCCACTGTGGAATCAATGGACACCTTTTACATATTTGAATAGCCTGAAATAATTTCCCCCTTCCAAGGGCCAGCTGAGATGGCTTGTTTATCTTACAGTAGATTTTATCTGGAAAATCATTAACAAAATGCTTCAGCCTCAAATGTTTCCCAAGAGGTGAGTTACATTAACCTGGGTTAATCAGATCATTCTCAGTTAATGGAGAGACAAGTTTTTTTTTTAATTCTTTTTGAGGTCAAAACTGCGAGATGGGCCTTGCGCTCCTTCAATTCAATTTAAAGGTGGATTACTCTGGTTAAAAGCCTCCGAGCTTGCAATCCACAAACTCTGAGGCCTTTGACATTATTAACTCTTGGTATTAGAGCGGCAGGCCAGAATGAAAATAGAAGTCAAGTGGGAACACTGACCTTTTCAGCATCTTTGGAGACAGGGAAGTTGCTGGAGGGGGTCCTGCAGGATGGGCTTCCCCTCTGGAGCAGGGCTTTTGATCCTTGGTGCTCACAGTACAACCACACATTCTCCAGTCTCTTGTTGTCTCTAATCATCTCCAGGCAACAGCAGCTAAGGAGAGCTGACAAGTGTGTGTGCTGTGTATTCCATGGAAGAATAGAGGACGGTGTAATGAGCATGCAATCCCTGAGAAGGCAACTTTTAAGCAATCTAAATAAACTCACAACCCACCAACCTGTGCAATAGATGTAGGGCAGTGTTGGAGATGAGTACAATAATAAAGCCTGTCTGAGAATATCATTGCAGATTATAAATGCATCAGAGAGGTAATGAATGGAGAGCTGGAGTCTGACTTCCTGGAGTCAGGAAGAACTGGGTTCGAGTTCTCTGACAGTATCCAGTGGTGTCCAGAGCTGACTCTGACCAGTAGTATAGAGCCAGTTGTTCTGTGGGTCAGACACTGTGCTAAATGCTGGAGATACAAAGACAGAAATGATTTCACAAATAATCCTTGCCCTCAGGGCTCTTACATTTGAATAGAAGAGACAATCTGAGCAGAAAAATATATGCAGAATATATTCAAAATAAATACAAGGTAGTTTTTTTGGGGAGCCAGTGCTAGCTACTGGGAAGACAAGGGAATGATGAGAAGATATGAAGGGGTTAAGACCTACAAAGATGGAGGGAGTACCCACATTGGGTTTAATGCCTTTTACTCTTCTTTCCACACTGTATGGTCCAGCCAAACTCGCTCTCTTTTTATTCTTCCCAGGGTGCTGTATCTCCCACCCCTGTGCCTTTGCCCAAGCTGTCCCTCATGCCTAGAATGCCCTTTCTCCTTGTCTTTGACTCTTACAATCCCTAGCTTCCTCCAAAGTTCTGCTTCATATGGGGACCTTTCTTGTTCTCTCCCTGAGTCCCCTCACTAGCACAATCTTTCTGTCTCTATATCTTTGTCCATGTATCTGTCTGTCTTTTTCTCTCTCATCTCTTTCTGTCTCTTTGTATCTTTCATCTTTATCTCTTTTTTTTTCTGTCTCTTTCTCTTGAAATTACTCTATATCACTTTGTATTTCCTTGGTTGTAAAGAAGTTTTCTTCCCCTTCTCTGTGCTATGTTGGTGTCCCCTGCATACATCAGTGTTTGCATAATAAGTGTTTGCTGAACTGTTCAATTAAGCATTTGTATAGTGCTTACTATATGCCAGGCACTGTGCTAAGTGGTGTTACAAATGCTATATCATGTGATCCTCACAACAGCCCTGAGAGGAATTACTATTCCCATTTTACAATTGAGGAAACTGTAGCAATCTGAGGTGAAGTGACTTGCCCAGGGTCCCACAGCTAGTAAGTGTCTGAGGCTAGATGTGAATTCAGGTCTTCCTGGTTCTAGACTCAGCGTTCCATCTCTGGATATGCCACTACCAGCCTTCTGATGGCAGGAAAAACTTCAAACAATTAGAGTTGTCCCTAGATGGGCTGGACTTTCTCCAGGGGTTGTGGGTTTCATTCCTGGGGGTCTTGAAGTGAAGACTGGATGACCACCTGTTGAATATGTTGTATTGGGAATTCCTTTAGGGTGTGGGATTAGATAAGGCAGCCTCAGAGGTCACCTTGAACTCTGAAATTCTGTCATTCTAGGAGTCGGGAAGAATTGGATTGAAATCTTGCCTCTGATACTTATTAGCAGTGTCAACCCTGGCAAAATCATCCAATCTCTAGAAGCTTCAGTTTCCCCAAATGTAAAATCAGCATCATAGTGGTATCTACTTAGCAAGGTTGCTGTGAAGATCAATTAAGATCACATGTGTGCATTGTCTCTGGAGTTAGAGGTTCAAATCTGGCCTATGACACTTACTGCCTGTGTAGCTTTGGCCTTAGGTTCCTCAGCTGTAAAATGAGGCAGTTGGGCTAAGCGGTCTCCAAGGTTTGTTGTTCCAAATCTATGATCCTATCAGCTTATATCAAGCACTTTGCAAACCTTTAAATATTACATAAATGTGAGCTGATAAACTTCTGGTTGGCAATATTCATCACAGGTACAATGTGGGTGTTTTTACCGGGAATGAGTCCCCTATTTTCTGGCCCTTGGAGTGAGAATAGGTAGGCACGTGCTAATAATAGCTCAAATTTCCATAGCAGTGTGCCATTACAACATGCTTTACATACATTACCACATGCACTGGGTGGGTGGTGAGGAGTCTCTGTATGGATGCCCAGCATGTCCTCCTGCTCCATTCTAGTGGCCAGTTCCTCCTACACGTAGAATCATTTTGCCTTTTGGGAAGCAGACTTAGCAATATTGCATTTACATATTTTATGCAAGAGTTCTACATCATTTTTCAATGAGCCAGCTGTTTTGAATTTGTTGTTCTGAAGCCACCAAGCATCATGACCAATGGAAGGGTTTTGAGTCACTAGAGTCCAATTCCCAGACCCGATCTTTGGTTAAAGGACACGAATCCCCAGCCTAGCCAGACAGTGACTCTATGGCCCATGGCATACAAAGAGACTAGTAACAGATGGCCTAGGAAATTGACATACCTTCCTGATCTTGGGGTAGCTCAGTCCCTCAAAGCTGATGAATAAGGATACTTAACCGCTTTCACTCTCCTTGGATTTTAATTATCTCAAAAAATAAGGGGAAAAAAAGAGCTCTCAATTTTCCATTTGAGATTTACTCAAACCTTTCTGAACTTTGCTGCATCTTTAGACAATCAAAAGTACCTTTTAGGGGGAAGGGGAGGCCTCACTTATGAATAAAGTATGAGTCATTGCAGTGATACAGACTAGCATATATATATATATATATATATATAATAATGCATATTATCTTATAAATTAGCACAGCAAATTAAACAAGAATCTAGACATTGTTATTTTTAGTAATCATCTTGTAGCCGTCACCCCAGTTCAAGGCCTCATCTCTTGCCTGGATACTTGCAAGAGCCTCCAAATTGCTCTCCTTATCTTGACTCTCTCCCTTTTCCAATGCATCCTTTATTTGGACATCAAAGTGATTTTCCTAAAGTACAAGCCCAACCGATGTTACTTATTACTTTAAGCTATGGCCACTCCCTATTACTTTGTGTCAAATACAAACTTGTGTCTTTGGCATTTACAGCCTTTACCAGCTTGGCTCCAACTTACCTTGTCTAGTCCTGTCAACTGCTCTATATTCCCATCAGACTGATGCTTTTTGTTCTTCAGTCATGACACAATCTCCCATCTCTGTATCTTTATACAGGGTGGCCCCTATGTTTGATGTATATACTCCATCCTCACTTTTGCCTCTTAGAATCCCTGGTTTCCTTAGAAGCTTAGCTTAAGCACCATCTCTTAGAAGCCAATTCTCTGATCCACCCCTCTCCCCCAGGTAGTGGATCCCTTCAGCGTAATTACCAATATATCTATCCTAATATACTTGTCTGTATATTTGTAAGCTCCTCAAGGACAAACTTTATTTAATTTTTGTCTTTTATCCCCAGTGCTTCAGGCATAGTAGGTATTTAAAATGTATTTGTTTATTGAGTAATGGATTCTCAGGCATTAGCTGTCCCAGAAGTCCATTATAGTTAATATTCCCTAAATGATGTGATCAGAAGAATCCGAATTGCAGGGGACCCAAAGGACAATGGAAGGGTGCATGATGAGCAGAAGTAGGTTGAAGCATATTACCAAGGTAGATATGTGGGAGAAGCATAAAAGATATCATACCATTTTTATTACCTCCACCACTATCACACCTACTACTACAAAATCTGCCACTACCACCACCTCCTTCTCCACCACCACCGCCACCACCACTATAGTCATCACCATCATCATCTTCATCATCATCATCATCATCATCATCACAGTTAGCATTTTTATAGTGCTTCAAGATGAAAAGTGCTTTACAAATATTTCTCATTTAATCTTCACAACCTCTCTGTGGGGTAAGTGCTATTATTTTCCCCTATTTTATAGATGAGGAAACTGAGGTTGAGGATGGGTAAGTGCCTTGCCCAGAGTCATATAGCTAGTAATTATCTGAGGCAGAATTTGATCCCGTCTCTTTCATGACTTTCAGCCCATCACTCTACCCGACATATAAGACCAGAAAGAAATGAGGACCAGATATATAGCAAGCTTGAAGGGTAACACATGCATAGTCAATTACACCGGTGTTTACATTCCCGTGTTAGAAGGAGAGGAAGACTTGTAGGGAACTGATGGATCCTTTAGAGTAGAAAGAGGGACAAAATGAAGGTCAGAAGGCCATAACAGTTAAACGAGCCACTTTTCACAGGCTGAGGTAGACAGAGGTGCCAGATTAGTGGGAACAATGAGTCTGCTGAAATGGTGGCATTATTTGAATTCGCACCGCACGTTTCCATTGGGCTATAATCAATTTGCATATTTATAACTTCAAAGAGTGTGAATTTGAAAACATAGCCAATATTCTAGGAGACTCATTATTTACACTGACCAATTAATCAATCAATAAAAAACTATTAAGAGCCTACTACACACCGAGCCTTGTCCTAATTAGGACCTAGCGTAGGGCATTGGAGGGGAGAAGCAAACAGCACATGTACGTTTCTTTTTCCTGAGAACACTAGTCAGGGCTATGGGAAGCACTGTCTTTAGTAAATGGGGCCCTCCCCCAATTTGTCTGCTGTGTGAGTCTGTGTGTCTCCCCTGGCATCAGTCTATTTAGAAGTTGTATGAGAGAAACGCATTCAATATGAGATTAGCCCCCAGTGAGTCTAATTTGACTCGCATGAGTAGGTGGGGCTTTGATGCACTGCCGTCTTTACTTTTCAGGTGCATCATTTAGGGAAGAAGATAGAATTCTCACATACTGGTTGACAAGTTAAAAATGAGTTCACTAATTGTTTTGTTTCCAAGGTACCCAACAACCAGTTTGAGTGACTTACCCAGCGAACCGTCTTGCAGTTGGTCTATAGACCAGGAGTTCTTAAATTGAGGTCCAGGGACATTTTTAGAAAATCTGATAACTGCGTTTCAATATAATTGCTTTCTTTTGTAGTCATATATTTTATTTTATGCATTTAAAATGTTATTCTGAGAAGGAGTTCATAGGCTTCCCTTG